CAGCCAAAAAGCGGTCACTCTGGCATAGTTGGAATTGGGGGTCTGGAAAAAAAGTTTTTTTGACAAATTCATGCAATGCGTTTACGTGTTGTGCACAAAAGTGGACAAGAATTGCTTCTGGTAAGATTCGAAGTCATAATCAAAATGGACGTTGCCTTCAAGTGACTAGCTCCTATATTTGATTAAAAAGTTGAATCGTTATTCTGCTGTTTTGCTCAAGTCCAATCCTTGAGAAATGCTTCCACTAGCATTATTTTACCCAGGTTATTCGAATTGCTGCTGAAAATCTTTATGACTCAGAAGAAGACTTTTTAATTGTTTATTTTCCTTTTTTAATTGCCGTTTTCTGTTTTCTTCTTACTTGCAGCTTACACTATACAAGAACCATGTTCTTGCATAAACCTTTGTTTTTTAAGTTAAAATATATGACTTCTATAGAATGATCTTCAGGGAATCGGTGAAGAGTTCTTAGAAGATCCTTGTGAGTTGGAGCACATATGTAATCCAGTAAGTACAGATAAGCTGAGGCATCAAAGACTGACTTACGAAGTAAGCACAAATAAACAGTTATATAGTTTATTTATATTGCAGTTTGCAGAGGCGTCAAGAAATTCGCAGAGCAAATGGAGATCTCTCAGTAAGCGAGCTCAAAAAGAAACTGAAAGCTGCTAAAGATGAAGTTGCTGACGAACTTGCGCATGCAAAACCGGAAGAGATTCGCAGTGCATGTACAACCCAGAATCGCTTTGTGGGCCAGCTGAGAAGAAATGCTCAGGGGCTGGTTTTAATCTATCCTTCAAAGGAGAATAGTTCCTCGGTGTATGTGTTTGCCAAGTTCAAGCAGAGCAAAAATTATGACGTCTACGACTGCCTTCTATGTAGGCGAAGAGTGCAGCGCACTTGTGTTAGGGTGAGTTTTCCACTGCGACAAAAATCCAGTTCACGGAAAATTTATTTTTTTAATAATGTAAACTCACTCAGTATTTGATCTTATTTTCAATTTCCTGCAGTTTATTGTGTTTGTGAGTTTTACATTCCAGTCGTTATGAGGCGAATATCCAGTATCAGAAGAATACCTGTTTCCTTGGGCTTTTTTTTTTGAAAATATCTGCTCGTTGGTTGCTGATCAATGCGTTTCGACTTAGAAAGGCATTTTATGGTTTTGCGACTCTTTAGAGTCTTCAACTAGGGCCGAAATATATTCGCTTTGTCTATGGTTATATAAGGTATTCAAAGAGTTTTGATCATCAAATGTATTCCGCACGGCAGCACCTAATTTGGAGTTGCGGTAGATACACTGTGGCGGAAGGAACTCACGAATTTGCTTGGAACTTCCATAATGGGGATGCCGATCGCGGATATTATATTTATCCGCACGTAGGGGCCTTTCTGTTAAATAGGGCGCGGCAGGGAGTCAAAATTGTTTGCTTTGCTGTGGTAGAGTTTTGACATACTGATCACGTGATGCTTGCTCCGTAAAAGGTCTTACTGTGGATCACGATAGCTAGGCAGTAGGTAGTGAATTCCATATGCGACCTCTTGCTGTTCATCTACCTTAGTACTACAGAATAAATACTATTGTCCTGAAATCAAATCATCTGTTAATCTTGCAGGCAAACCCGTGATTTCGACCTCTTACCGTATACGTACGACACCTCAATAATAAGGTGCTGTCCTTCGGAATTAAAAGCTAACAGCATGTGAAATGTAAGGTTACATCCATACTTCATAATGATCGGCCAATCGAGGGCGCGCGACTTTTGCTTACACCGCATTTGAATATTGATCTGG